GTAGCACCATTGAGAGTGTCCTAACCTATGGCATTCTTGTATGGTTTGGGAGCAGCTCTGTAGCGGACAAAAAAAGCTCTACAGAGAACCATTAAAATTGCTCAGAATATCATTGGGCTCCAGCTATCAACCCTGGGTAACATCTTCACATCCCGCTGTCTGAGGAAGTCACACAACATCCTTAGAGACTTTTCCCATCCTGCTCACAACTTCTTTGAACTGTTGCCGTCTGGCAGAAGATACAGAACAATTAAGATTTGGACCACACATTTTCTGAATAGTTTTCTGAATAATTCCAGAGCTATAATTGCACTTAATTATGAACTTAAAGACCATCGGCCATGAACAGTTGGACAGTGTTACTTAGCCTGTGGTGCAAATGTTTGTGTTCTTAGTGGGGGATTTTTAGTGGGTGGGGAGTGTTTGGGGATTTTTTTTAATGTGTGCATGTGGGTCTGGGCTCTGGGTGACTGTGCGGATTTTGTTGTATGGGTATACTATGTATATACTTATAATGGCAATAAAATAAACAAATAAACAAATATAAACAAACAAATATAAACAAACAAACAAACAAACAAACAAACAAATAAATAAATAAATAAATAAATAAATAAATAAAAATTTGCAGCTTTTAACCTTGACAGGTTTTCCTTACAAGCCCTAACTAACTTTCTTTTGGGGCAAGAATTATTTCCTGCCCCCCACCCCACCCCAGACAATATATGATATAGCAGGGGAAGGAAATACAGTATGCACAGCTATGTGTGAATTCTTCCAGCTGCTTTGGGATTGATAGGGTCATCTGTATACTTCCACTTCACAGCAAAATAAATTTTACTAGAAATTCAAATCTTGGCAACATTTTACCAGTTCCATGCCCAGCCATCACCATGAGTATCCATGGCCAAGGAAGCATTCACACCCAGGTCTCCTGAGTCCTTGTCTGTCATTTATCTGCTCCACCACACTGGGTATGTTGCGATAGAACAAATACCTTTTCAAAGTTGTGCTACTGGTCTTCCAGTAGCAGAAATGGAAGAGCAGAAGCACAAACCCACACCTGCTCTTCCATTTCTTTTTACATCAAGAGTGTAGTTTTGCCTTCTTTTTCCTTTTGATTTCTCATCCTTTTGCTTCTCTTGCTCTGGTCTAGTTCATGCGTGGTTTCCTGTATTGTGTGGATCAGGTTTTATTGTTGCTGCAGTTTGCTGTTTTTATGTTTTTCCAAATTGGTTGTAACAATACCCATGTCTAGCAACTTTGTTCACTTTGAAAGGCAGAGTATTTTTTTAAAATAAACAAACATTGGAGTCCTTTTGAAGATTTTGTTTGCTGATCTTCTTGATGCATATGCTGACGTGGGCTAACTAGACCTCCTTCGTTTGTTGTTGCTGATGGATACCACTTAGCGTTTCAGAGCTACAAGGCAGTCAGGGTCTGGTGGGCATTAGTTGCTACTGGAGTTAATGCAATTAAGCCAGGCATCTGGTTTATAGCTTCTATATTTGTGTGCTAATTGAGAACAGTGTACCCAGCTAACATGACGTACAGACACACAATAAACACACACATAGACATACCCTCCTCTGCCTTGGGTTGTATTTCATCTTTATGCAAAAGATTTTTTTCTTTCTGTTTTTCCTGAACTTCTTTGTATTTTGTTTTGCCACCTAGAAATATAAAGGATGAAATTCTGGGAATTTTTATTTATGCATCCAAGCACCTAGGTTTTTCTGACCATTTGCCTGCAATGGGTGATAAGGACTTGCAGAGTCATAGGGATAAGGAAATATTCTGCCCTATTTATGCTTTATACCTGAGGTGAGACATTGGTGTTTTTAGGCCAGTAGGATCAATGGGTGGCTCTCCAGGATTCTTTCCCTGCTCCATCCAAAAAATTCTTGTGGTTGTTGTGGGGTTTTCAGGCTCTTTGGCTGTGTTCTGAAGGTTGTTCTTCCTGTTTCGCCANNNNGGACAGCACAGACTGCTGTCCTCTGAAGATGCCGGCCACAGAGACTGGTGAAACGTTAGGAAGAACAACCTTCAGAACACGGCCAAAGAGCCCGAAAAACCCACAACAACCATTAGATCCTGGCAGTGAAAGCCTTCGCAAATATACAAAAATTCTTGGTCATTTCCCATCCAAAGTATTAACCAGGCCTGACCCTCCTTAGCTTCTAAAAACGAGTCAAGGTTGTGTTTATTCATGGTGATCTGATCAGACAAAAAGGTGGCATCTCCATAGTGATATGATTTTGATCCAGGTGTATGCACAGTTCTTGCATTGTAGTATAAATTATGTTTTATTTTATATCTGTATGTTCAGATCCAGTGAACTGAAGACTAGTGAAAAGGAAGGGAATATTGAACATGGAGGATTCTACAGGGAATGTCTGGTTGGAAGGACTGAATTGTTACCGTTCTCTTCATCATTTCTACTAAAGAGGAGCAGAAGAACTCAGTAGAAGAATTATATAAATCTGCACTAGTTCATCCTACATCTGTGTAGGAACTGATGCAGTGGCCATATTACAGTAAGCAGCAGCAACAACAACAACATAAAGCCACCGGGACATCCATTGTAGCATAGAATAAATGAAATAATAAATAATAATTATTGTTGTCCTAGATCAGAAATGCAGTAAGACTGCAAAGACCAAAAGCCAGATGTAACCTAGGTTTTAGAATAGGGACTCTAACCTAATCTGTTTATTTCTACTACAGCTGCCCAGTCAACAGCTTCCTGCCAAACAGAGAGACTGGGAATACACTGCTAATTTACATGGACATGGCAAGAAATGAAGAATTTTGGCTTCCTTACATCCAGAATTGATGCTTTGAATTGTGGTGCTGGAGGAGACTCTTGAGAGTCCCCTGGACTGCAAGGAGAACAAACCTATCCATCTTGAAGGAAATCAACCCTGAGTGCTCACTGGAAGGACAGATCCTGAAGCTGAGGCTCCAATACTTTGGCCATCTCATGAGAAGAGAAGTTTCCCTGGAAAAGACCCAGATGTTGGGAAAATGTGAAGGCAAGAGGAGAAGGGGACGACAGAGGATGAGATGGTTGGACAGGGTCACTGAAGCGACCAACATGGATCTGATCCAACTCCGGGAGGCAGCGGAAGACAGGAGGGCCTGGCGTGCTTTGGTCCATGGGGTCACGAAGAGTCGGACATGACTTAACGACTAAAAACAACAACATCCAGCCATCCCTTAGAAAAGTGTTCAACCTTGTCAAACTTATTTTAGGTGTGTTTGCATCAGGAGAAAACCAACAGGACTTCTCTTATTAACATCCTTCTGCAATTTGCAGACATCTACGTTTTACCTCTGTTTACCTACTAGGCATGGGTTGGTTGTTTTTTTTAATTAATAGGCTACAGCCCCCAGAACCCTGCAGGAACTCCCCCAGCCAGACTTGGGGGGGGGGCTGTAGTCTATGAATTCTGAAAATCCCATGCTAGTTATCTACCTGCTCTCAGTGAAGGCGGAACAGACTCCGGGGAAAAGTAAAAAGCAGACCTTGTCCAGCCTCTTTCCTTTGGGCCCGCCTCTCTCTCACTCTCTCTCTCCCCCCTCTGCTAGGGAAAGTGTAAGCAGGCTGCACTGGCTCTCCTAAAGAAGTAGGAACAAGATGATTCTGGCAGGAAGCTGCTCCATATACAGAAAGGCAAGGAAGTGCTGGGGAAGCTGCCAGGAAACCTGTGAGGCTCAGCGGTCCTTTCGTTCCTCCAGAGCTGCGTTCCCTGATGGGCCAGGATGGAGAGTCCCAGCTGCATCCTGAAGCAAAAAGCAACCGAGAGGCATCACAGAGCTGAGGTCATGATTGCAGGGGAACAACTGAGGTATGCTTTATCAACGGATCCTCTCTCTCTCTCTCTCTCTCTCTCTGCATGTCTCAGTTTCTTCCCCTCTCTCTGTCTTTCTGGACAGAGTTGTCCTCTTCCCTTTTGAAAAACGTCCAGAGGCCACTCTGCAAGATTTGATTGCTTTATATAGAAAAAGCAAAGGAGAGTCAAACTCCTAGCTTAAAACCGTTCTTGTTTCTGCTCTTGGAAAAGCTTAATAGAACGGAGAAATGCAATGCATAGCATTGGTCTCTTAAGAATTAATGTTACAGCTGTTCTGCATCTTACTTTGGTCATTTTTTAATCCACTGCTTTACAGACAGACGCTCCTCCCCGTTTTGATCTCCGCAGGACTTTAAAAAGTAGTTTGAAACTTGCAAAACTAGCTTGGTCTCATGTGGTTCAGTGGACAGCGTGCCAGATTAGAACTCAGGAGACCAGGGTTCAAATCCCCGTTCAGCTATGGAACGCCAGGGTGTGATGACATGGGGAGATGCAATTTGAACCACTGGTGCAATCTGTTTCCTGATGAAATGACACTTCATCCTGCCCTCTCACCCCAATCCATACCCAGGCTGGACCATTTTGGTGCAGCTGTAGGGCGACTACCTTTTGGTCTGATGCCCCAGCAGACAGAAAGCTCACTTTAAGGAAGATCACTCCTATTAAAATGGTATTTTCCAATGCGATCAGGTGTGTGCTTTACAGCAGCCATGTGATCTCACCTTCATTTGGGTGCGTGGCAAAAGTAAACCATTCCTTAAACATGGGACCAAGTGACAGCTCATAAGTGTAACCAGCTCTTAGACAATTTTTGAGTGGGGACTGATGCTCATTTTGGTGGAGGTGCTGATGGTGGTGTTGGATTGCACCCCAGAGCCAGAGGTGACAGGCAGAGTCTTTGGAAGGCAGTCTTACTCTGCACAGGGGTAGGGTAGCATTCACACCTACACACAGCAGGAGGGAGATGCTACAGGTGAGACTCTGACCCTCTGTATCTGGTAAGGGGGCAGGCAGGAGGGACTGCTTCAGGGGGGTAACCCCAGCATCCCATTCTCTCTAGTGGACAACCGCTACTGTGATCCACCCCTGAAGATGTCGCTTTAGTCTTGGCATCCTCAAAAAAAAATGGTTCCAGAAGGCAGAAGAGCAGCCAGAAATGCACAATATCATCAATACATTTCCAAATTGTTCTTCTCTCTGTTAGTAGACATGTTCAGTTGGCTGGAGGTAGACAGAGAGACATAGCACAGGTAGGTCCTTAGAGTGGGGGCAGAACTGACCTCTAGACCTTAAGGGACCCACTGATCAGGAGTTGCCTGCTCTCAAAATGCAATAATAGTCACCTAACAGAGTTATATATATATATATATATATTATAAAAACCTGGTTTTGATCCCACACCATAGTTTGAAATTAAATATGGGTCCCAATGCCAAAAAGACTGCAGATCTAGCAAGATCTGGCCCCCTGTCACTGCAGTTATGAGTTCAAATTCTACATTCCTTCATAGTAGCATGACCAAGACCATACAGTCACTCCCTGTCATCTTTGCAAAGTGCTGTTCCTCATCCTTGAAACCCTCACATCACCTGATTAAGAGCATCTCATTCTGAATGTCTTTTTCATGCTTAATTGTAATATTATGACCATTTGAAGGACTTTTCAGCCTTCCTGCTCCCACTGGTCTCACCGTGGCCTAGCAAAGAGATCTGTAGATCTAAAAAGCTTGCCTATTTATGTTAAACCTGAGCTGACCTAATAAAGATATGGTGGTAATCTAGGTTTGTGGATCCCTCACAGTGTTCTGGTGACAAATGAGATGTAAAAATAGCAGCTGTACAGTTCAAGGACCTGCCTGATAAATGTCTAATAATAATATATAACTCCGAGGGTCAATGACAGGACAGTAAGTAATTACACAGAACCCCACTCCCTTGCTTTAGAGGTCTTTAACAATATATACATAACGGAACAGCGAGGTCTCTGAGACTTGAAGCAGTTCTTGAACCATGTCACCTTCACTGCCTTTGTGTTAGCCTCTTTTCCTCTACCTCCTAAGAATGGTTTGAGGATGAGTTGCTGATGACCTCTTATCCATTTGTTTCTTTTCCATGCAAAGGGAAGCAGCTTTGATGATAAATTTCGTGGAACTTCATTTCCAAAGAGCAAAACACCGTATTTTTCAGTGTATAAGACTATACTTTGTCTAAAATCTTTAGACTAAAAATTGAGGGTTGTCTTATACACGGAAGGAAGCTGAGGAGAGAACAAAAACAAGTGGAGGGGAAAGCAGGGATCAAAGCGATTTTATTCATTTCCCGCTACACTTCCTAAGCCCCACTTAGATTTCTTAATTTTAGATTAGAAAAGTGGGGGCGTCTTATACATGGGGTGTCTTATATATGGAAAAATATGGCAATTCTTCATGAAGGAAAAAAAACAGCCCCTACCCTAAGCCTGTTGCAGATCATATAGCTGTCTTATACACGAAAAAATATGGCAATTCTTCATGAAGGAAGAAAACAGGTCCTACCCTAAGCCTGTTGCAGATCATATAAGAGGTTGTTTGTTGTGAGTCCCTGAGTCGTGCTAAACAGGGCAGGGCAGCAAGCATCATTTGAAAGTGGCAGCTTTTGATTCATGTAGGAAAGTATTTTGGCTGAATTGGGCTTACTTCTTGAGTAAACATACCTCTTGGCTATAAGGAACAACTTTGCTGGATGATATAAGAATAATCATGCATCATCAAGTCAATTCTGACTTATTGTGCAACCTTTTCAAGATTTTCCAGGTAGAGTACTCAGAAGTGATTTACCCTTCCCTTCCTCTAGGGGGAGACCTGGGACTGTGCAGCTTGCCCAAGGCCACCCAGGCTGGCTCTTCTCTCAGGGGACACTGTGGGGAATTGAATTCCCAAACTCTGGCTCCACAGCCAGATACCTGAACCACTGATATTTGGTGCTGCGTGGATCCTGTCCCTCAACCTCTTTTTTCCAGACGCTGGCCTGCAAGAATGAAGTCTTCCCTTTTAATATACCCAACAGAAGCCTGGTCTCTCTCTCTCTCTCTCTCTCTCTCTCTCTCGCCTGGTCTCTCCCCCTCCCTCCCTCCTCCCCCTCAAGCGATAGCAACAATTAAAAAAATTATTTAAGGATATTTTTATCTCACCTTTCTCCTCAAAAGGACCCAAGGTGGCTTACAACATTTAAAAAAACTTTATTTAAAAGTTAAAAACAGTATGTATACAAATATTAAAATAGAATTAAACAAGTATTGTATTGAAATCAATATTAGAACATATTTAAAATAACAGGACACAACAATCCATTTAAAAAAAAACCCTCAGACCACCTGTCATTAAGGAAAAGTCTGCCATAAGAGAAAGGTTGCAGAAGGACAGCAAAGATAGGGCCGGCGTAGCAATACACTGCAAACTTTATGCCAGACTCTCTTGTAAAATGTCATTTGAATAGACTTGGTGGAAATAACCAGGGCTTTTACTATAAGCCTGAAAAAGTTGGTCAGATTTCTATCTGATTGCTGTCCCAGAACTTAGAGCCCTAGGCAGGTCATCATGTTATTTTTTAAAAAGGATAAGTAGTATTAAAAATATAAATTGAAACAAAAGAAGATGTAATACTCCTCAAATACTGTGTTGGAAGTGTCTTAAAAGCACCTCAATTAAAAAAAATATATATGAATGACTGAAATCCTATTGTGAATGTATTATTGTGATGCAGTTTTTTTTTCAGTTTAACTGCTATCACTCACACACTTGATGGGTTGTGTGCCCCACCGCACAATCAGAGTACTATGGGTTGTGCAACCGGCAACTGGCAGACTCTCTGCTATTGTTTGTTTGATTGCTGTTATGACTTAACGCTCTCCAGTTCTAAGAGGATGGTGATGAAATTGGGTTAGCACAATAGAATTCTGGCCAGTATTATTTATTTTTTTCAAAGAAAACAGTAAGACAAAACTCCTATCCTTAGAAGTCAGGCGGCTGCTGAATAGAACGTTCTTCGCCTGCTTGAGGAAAGACCACGTGAGGGGAGCCTGCTAAGCCATCCTGGGTTAGGCAGTCTTGTAGTCTAGACGCAACCACCAGGAAGGTCTATGCCCTATCTTCCAAATAAAGATCCTGAAAGAATTCCAGAACCTTTCAAGGAGAAATACCTGTGGATTTTCTGAACTATAGGGGCTTTTCATAATGAATTCTCCCCTGCCCGAGGCTGCCATGAGCAGGGTGGCATTCAAAGGTGCATGGAAGGTATGCATGCAAGAATGACCACCGCCTGCTGTGGAATGGAGCAAGCGAGTCTGGTCTATAATTTTGTGGCAGGAGGGAATGAAAGTTCAACAGAACTTGCATAAAACCGTGTTTTGCAAGATTTGGCTGGAAAAAGCGACTAGTGATGAAAGGGCGTAGCAAGGATGATTTCTGTGTGATTTCAATGGGGAACAAATATAAGATATATAGTTATACCATCTTTTGGGGAGGAAAAGGCTGCTAATAGAAATAGTGGTTGTTTACAGAGCTCTATAAAACTGATTACTATACACCATGAGAGAGAGAGAGAGAGAGAGAGAGGGAGGGAGGGAGGGAGGGAGGCTACTATTTGCTATTAAAAAGATAGTAAGAGAAGATCTTATACTATGTTATTGCAATGAAAGAGGTGGGCAAAAAAAAATCAAAGAATGGAAGAATGTTTCTAAAACTGAAGATTTTAAATTATGAGATTATGTCGCTCTCTCTCCCTCTGTGTGTGTGTGTGTGGGGGGTTTCCTTTGGTTAAATCCAAGAAATATTGGGAAGTACAGCTTAATCACATGAAACCAAAAGATCTGTCCATTCCAATCTCTGGTTTCAAACAGTGACTGATCAGACGCTTTAAAATAATAGTAAATTTCAAGAATATAATAAATTATAATTATTAATATGATATGTGCGGAAGACAGGAGGGCCTGGAGTGCTCTGGTCTGTGGGGTCATGAAGAGTCGGACACGACTTAATGACTAAACAACAACAACGATATTCAAGGCTCATCATCAGAAGAATTCTGCAATTTTTTAAAAAGGTGGGGGCCCAGACCCATCTGGGGATGATATGTTCTATTCAAGGCTCGTCATCAGAAGAATTCTGCAATTTTTTTTTAAAAGGTGGGGGCCCAGACCCATCTGGGGACTCATAGTTATTGCACTGGGGATACTGGGAAGCCTGCTGCAGGTGCTCTACCTTCCTATCAGCTCCTTATTGGCTGGCTGGAGAGAGAGAGAGAGAGAGAGAGAGAGAGAGGGAGAGGGAGAGAGGTCCTGCGGGTGAGAGGACTGGACTTCACTCAAACTCTTCACCCAAGCCTACCTCACTTGTCTGGTCTTCCCACCAACTGCCTCTGACTCCGATCGGTTGAGGAAGTCTGAATATTGTGCTATAGGCACCTTTTTCTTTGGAGCATCTGCTTGGTCGGGGTGTGGTTTCTCCATCTAACAGAAGGATGTACTGTACACTGTTGCCGATGATTGTACTTTAGGCAGCTTTTCTTTGGGGTGTCTTACTTCTGGAGTGCCACATTTTGGGAGACCTACATGGTTTAATACAGCGATTCCCAACCTTGGGGCCCAGAGAAGTGTGTGTAGCATTTATTGCTCCCACAGCTTGGACCCAACTCAGCTTTAGGCATGCAAATCATTTGCTTGATTCAGTTGGTCCCCTCTTCCCACCCATCACCTTTTCCTCTTCTGCCACGTCATTTAGATTTTTAGAGGGCAGATAGGGACTGCATTTCCCCCTGAGCCGTTGCTGCCCATCTCACTTGTTGGTTGTGCGTTCCAGAGACGTGTATGTAACGTGCAAGAAAACACCCATTTGTGCACCTACATAGGGTAATCTCCACACAGACTCTGGACTTAGAGATCTCTGCTTTTGCTCCACTTAAATAGTTTTCTAATAAATGGGCCTAGGAGCTCTCTGACGTGACATAAGTTGAAATACCTCAGAGGTGCCGGTATGTAACTGTTTATCTGAGTTATGTACAGAGAAGGTCTGAGGACAATATTTCTGACTGGAATGCCTGTTTTTAATGACTGATCTCCCTCAGTAAGCTTTGGTTCCCTGTTTCACTTTGTGTGTGTGTGGTTGTGTGTATCTCTCTCCCTGCCATGCCCTTCCATTGGCTTTGGCAGGTGGAAGCCTAATTGGAACTTCATTTATGTTCCCAGCCAGTTCTAGTTTAGACTGCCTGCTAAGGAGAAACCAGTTCTCTGTCATACTGAATTTCTTGGCCAGCAAGAACTGTCTACGATATCTTAAGAAATGCCTTCAGACTTCCTGCTGAGGCACAAAATTACTTCAGAAGGTATTTCAATGTCAGAAAGTGTTTTTCATGCTTCCTCCAAAGCAGGGCAATCGAAGGTATAAGACCCTCATGTCCTTTGGGTCTAACTGGTTGGGTAACGCTGTCACACTGTCAAAGCCAGCGTCCATGTAAAATTGGTAACAACAGCAACAATAATCACATGACATCAAGTCAATCTGGGGACCCTTTTCAGGGTTTTCGAGTAGAGAATACTCAGAATTAGTTTGCTATTCCTTTCTTCTGGACTGAGCGGCTTGCCCAAGGCTACACAGGCGGGTAGCAAGGACATAACAAAGTGACATTCCAAAGCTACCGGCTTCACTTCTAAGCACTGGCCACTACTAGGGATGTGAATATATTTTGTTAAGCTTCTTTACTTCTCACTGGTGTTTTCTTCCTGTCCTGAAGTTATGAGACTTAATTTTCCCCTTCCTTCCTAACCTGAAATTTAACCATGTTTACTCCCCTTCAAGACACCTGACATGATGAACAAATTTATTTGAGCCTGTTCGCTATTGTACTCATTTATCTATGCTATTTATGTATTGCACATTTTAGTATTATTTCATTTACATAATTTCCCATTGATTAAAGTGAGTTTGTACCCTCCCCCCTCAATTTTGCACATTTCGATCATTTCCATATCCTAAAATGTGTGCATAGCTTGGGTTCGTTTCTCTGATGACTTGCAAATGTCCAAATTCTCAAAATAACTTTGGCTGGTCATTTTTAAAAAGTTCCATGTTTCTAAGACTTGGCTGCAGCACCTGCAATTCAAGCACTAAGCTGTCTTATGTTCTCCACTTCTTCTAGTGGTAGGCAGTTCCGCCAGCAGTTGCTGCAGCTTCTACTGTTTTGTAAAGACAGAGTAACAGACGTTTCAGGAGTTTTGTAGTACTGGTTAATTTTAAAATAAAGAAGAAATGAGAACCCAGGCAGCGCTGGCCTGTCTAGGAACATCAGTTCTCCTTAAGAGCAAGCAGCCTTCATGCCCCTGGAGTCCTCCTTACAAGCTGCAAAAAAGTCACACTGATTGATGGATTTTTATGCTGCCATTTTCCCAGTTACAAGACCCAAGGCAGCTTGCAAATTATTTGTTCATTCGTTTATTCGTTTGTTCATTCGTTTGTTCATTCATTATTTCATTCATTCATATACTACCCATCTAGTAAATCATTACTCTGGATGGTGTACAACAAATTAAACTTACATTATATAATAATACAGGCAATAGGCTATCCAAGACATAAACAATAGCCCAAGACGGGTGGCGAAACCATTTCCAGAACATGCTTCAACACTCCATCCTTCTTCTCCCCCTTCCTCTAGTGTCCCACCTATCTGGGGAGATTCTTTCCAAAGGCTTCTCTGGATAGTTCTGGTTTTAGGAGCTTTTTAAACAAATGAAGGAAGGGCTGCCTTTTGTATTTCCTGCAGGAGAGCATTCCCTAGAGAAGGGCCCACTAAGGAGAAGGCCTGGTTTCTGGTTACCCATTTCCAAGCTTCTCTGGGAGTTCACACCAGCAGGTGTGAGGTCTGTGAGGACCAGATCAGACGGGCAGACGAACGTAGCAGACGACGACGTTCAGACAAGTAGTGAGGTCCGAAACCATTTATTAAATGATTGAGAAACAACAACAAATTAGCTAAAAACTTATTTTCTTTCTTTCCTGGCTTTCTCTGGTTCTCTCCATCATAGCTTCCTCCACTTTCTTCAGCGTCCACTCCCCAAACAGGTGCTGGTAGCAAAATGAACCTTTTAGCTTGGTTTTAGCGGGTGTCTACGATAGCTGGTGATATCGTTGCCGTGTTTGTTTTAGAAATCAGCTCCTCGTATCGGTGGAAACACTGAGCAATCAGCAGTGCCCGTTACAGGGAAAACGTAAGGTACGAGTTCCTGCCCAAGGTTTAGAGACTGGTGTTTCTTCATGTGGTGCCAAAGAGCAGTGCTCCATGACACTGAACTTCACAGGCACCCCTGTTACAGAGTGCGTTTGCGCACGGACAGAATAAACAGTGAACAGGGAATGGAGCAAGAGGTTGGAACATTGTCAAAAATATCTGGAACCCAAGCTTTAAGCTCAGCGTCAGTGAAGTGCTTTGCTGTGTGCATAGGCTTTCTTTGTTTAAAGAAAAACAAGATTTGAAACCGCTCCGGGGGCTATTTGGTTGGCACCCAATAGCTTGAGATTTATTTTTGTTTAATGTGCCGAGACCTTGCCTTTGAGCAAGACCATGGAGACTAGTTCTGCCCTTCTTCTGACATTGATAAAAGGAACACTGTTGCCCAGGCTGTTCCATTGCCAGTTTTTTGATGTTGTTGTTTTTTGAGAGCCGTTGTGCAAGAGACAATAAGGTCCTGCTTTCTCCTACCATGTGCTGATTTTTGCTTTTTGGGGCTTTTTGGTTCCGTCTCTGGTAGGGTGGCTGTGCTTCCGACTTTTACGGGAATCACTCCATTCTTAGAAGCTATCCTCTCTTGACAGAGTGATAATTAGATTATATGCCACAGAATCCCCCAGCCAGCATAGTCAGCTGTGACGTTGTCTGGAGGATTCTGAACACGACACTCCAAAATTGGAATCGCTAGTCCAACATTATAATGCCCAGACTCTAGATGTTCTGTTTCAGGTACTCCAGTAATCTGATTATAACATAACATGGTTGGCTATGTACCTTGACGTGGGGTGGTGCAGACTGTGGTTTGCTGTGGTTTGCCTTGATGAAAAAGACCAAGGACAGAAAAGAACATTGACGAGTGAGGAATGTCTAGGGCTGATGAAACCTTCAGAAACCGTCATTGTTTTTCTTTGTTCAAAGCCGCTGACCTTGTGATGAAGCTTCATTCAGCACTAGTGATTGCTGTAGTCATTAAGTCCACAGACTAATTACAAACACTGGCCAGTTACTGTGGGTTTCCTCTATGCAGCAGGGAAGAGACTCTCGTGCCCAGACTTGACCTAGAGAGTCTTCCTATGCATGTTGTTGCCACCAGTTCATCTCTGTTTTTTTTCTCTCCATCTCATTTTACATTTTAGACTTCGTCTACATGATGGCAAGCTTATTAAGGACAGGCGCTATCACCTTCGCACCTACCCCAATTGTTTTGTGGCCAAGGAACTCATCGATTGGCTAATCGACCACAAAGAGGCACCGGATCGAGAAACGGGCATTCGGCTGATGCAGAAGCTCATGGACCATTACATTATCCACCACGGTTTGTGTGCTCCTCAGTTCTGGTACCACTTGAGGGCTCTTGCCTCAATCACATGGGATCACTTTAAGCTGCTTGCTCAAAAAGCCCAGCCAAGGAACAGGCACCTTGTGGCAGATTTTGTAGCATTTCTGGGTCAGATTAACTCTTTAAGACAGGGATGGTCAACTTGTGACTCTCAAAAATCTTGTTGAAACCTCCAGTAGCGTTGCTGGGTAGCCAACATTGACAGATGGTAGAAGCTGCAATCCAGCAGCACTTGGAGAGAACCACTCCTGCTCTATACAAGAGTCAGAATATGTAGTGGGGGCTAAGAAGACCTCGGTTCAAAGGCCTGTTCAACCCTGGAAGTTCACTGGAGTTAACAGTGATACGTAAAACCAGTCCTTAAATATATCTTGAGGGTCATTGTTACAGTCATGGCATATTAAACATGACTTGACAGCACATTGTACATACACACGTTACACAAAGTTTGTCCAGTTAATACAAACAGACCCAGGTGGACTTCACAGAAAATGAATTTCCCTCGCTGTGTAGTCGCACCCCTAGTGTCAACTTAGCCAGCCCTCGGGCACCTTGGACAGTTAGAATGGTATTCTCAGAACCTAAAGGGAATGGAAAAAGCTGAGATGTGTGAGGAATGCTTGAAGGAACTGGTTGCATCCATTTCCATGGATGACAGCTGGACCGTATGACTCTCGGGAAACCTCCCCATGCAACAGGTTGAGGGTTAATACAAACAGACCCAGGTGGGCTTCACAGAAAATGAATTTCCCTCGCTGTGTAGTCGCACCCCTAGTGTCAACTTAGCCAGCCCTCGGGCATCTTGGACAGTTAGAATGGTATTCTCAGAACCTAAAGGGAATGGAAGAAGCTGAGATGTGCGAGGAATGGTTGAAGGAACTGGTTGCATCCATTTCCATGGATGACAGCTGGACCGTATGACTCTCGGGAAACCTCCCCATGCAACAGGTTGAGGGGGAGGGAAAGGTGGAAGAGGGGAAAAGAAATTAAAGCAAAATCCTTATTTACCCTTATCCTACCGTCCCTTTAAAAAAACCCATTCATTTATTTAGTTAAATGTTACAAAAGTAGAAGACTTTTTGTAAAATTACCTAAAGATAATGCAAATCTATAACTTTATCCTATTAAATATGTTACTCATAAGCATACTTCCTCCTTCATGGATTGCTGCCTTGTCATTTATTTAGTTAAATGTTACAAAAGTAGAAGACTTTTTGTAAAATTACCAAAAGATAATGCAAATCTATAACTTTATCCCATTAAATATGTTACTCATAAGCATACACATATGTGTCTTTCATTAGAACAAACATCTATGAGCAAGAACTAAAGTCTGGCAAGAGAGTTCCAAAATTCCTAATGTATAGACTAAATTTATTATTTCCTGTATTAGGTTTCCAAGGTTGAAATCCTGTTGCTTAGAGTAGTTAAGTTGCAACTGGAGTAGGCCCATTGAATGAGTAGGAATCTGATGTGTCGACTCATATATACATTTCATTCAATGGGACAACGGTAGTTGCCAATTACTAAGCTAAGCAACAGGATTTCAGCCTGAGTGTCTGTGATATAATAGTGTGATGGGCTGAGCATGTTTATGTTGGGTGAGAATCGGTGAGTGTTCCAAGCTCACTCGTTCTTATCAGAGTGTTTGGGATAGTGTGGTGGACACGCACCTCCTGCATCACAGTAAGATAACTATAAGCTAATGGGGCTTTGCTAGTGTTCCCTCCAAGGGGCACATGCACATGCATGCACAGAGCCCCATTGGCGCCACACAGCGGCAGCCGGTGTTGATGCCTGTTTATATCCGGATGAAACTCTGCCCTCCAAACGCAGACAGAAGAGGCTTGCATGCAACAGCAGGGATGAAAATTAGAGGGAACACTGGGCTCTGCCATGACGTTTCATTGTTTCTGGGCTACTTAATTTTCCCCAGTGCTTGGACAGAGATTTGGTCCAGGGGTATCATTCCGTTGCTCAGAGACAGCCAGTGACTCTGTTTGGGCTACCGGATAAGATGCCGCAGAAGCATTTACATTATTTCTGGCATTATCTGCAAATGGCATGCCCATTTCGGATTGAGCTACTGTGCTCCCCTCTCTCTTGCAAACTGCAGGAGAGAAGAGATTTGAATCTGGATTGCTTTGATTAAAGTGTCTCACTGTACCCACTAGGCAATACTGGGTTTTATTGTTGCTTAGAATGGTGCCTGGCGTGCTCTGGTCCATGGGGTCACGAAGAGTTGGACACGACTAAATGACTAAACAATAACAAGAATGGTGCAGTTGAGAATAGAGATACACAACACTATTTCCCAAAGCAAGTCACTTCCACATTTTATGCTTTGTGTGTGTCCCATTATCAACAGAGAATGTCAAAGGAGAAGAAAAGCAATGGAAAGGCCAAAAGATGGATAAATGCAAGTAGATAAATAGGAACCACCTGGTGGGAAGGTAACAGCGTTCCGTGTCTAAGTCGCACTGGCCATGTGACCATGGAAGATTGTCTTCGGACAAACGCTGGCTCTATGGCTTGGAAACGGGGATGAGCACTGCCCCCTAGAGTCGAACACGACTGGACAAGAACTTGTCAAGGGGAACCTTTACCTTTACCTAGAGTGGTGCCTGCCGTGCTCTGGTCCATGGGGTCACAAAGAGTCGGACACGACTAAATGACTAAACAACAAGAAGAGTGGTGCAGTTGAGAATAGAGATCCACAACACTATTTCCCAAAGCAAGTCACTTCCACATTTTATGCTTTGTGTGTGTCCCATTATCAACAGAGAATGTCAAAGGAGAAGAAAAGCAATGGAAAGGCCAAAAGATGGATGCTTCTTTCATTTCCTTCTCTTTACAAGAGTGGTGCAGTTGAGAATAGAGATCCACAACACTATTTCCCAAAGCAAGTCACTTCCACATTTTATGCTTTGTGTGTGTCCCATTATCAACAGAGAATGTCAAAGGAGAAGAAAAGCAATGGAAAGGCCAAAAGATGGATGCTTCTTTCATTTCCTTCTCTTTACAAGATGTCCTGTTGAATGTCAACAGAGAATGTCAAAGGAGAAGAAAACTAATGGAAAGGCCAAAAGATGGGTGCTTCTTTCATTTCCTTCTCTTTACAAGATGTCCTGTTTAATGCTGCTTCTAGATCCTGCACGGTGCTAGTCCCCCTCTATTCATCACGGGTTCGGCCTCGCCTTGAGTCTTGTGTCCAGTTCTGGACACCACACTTCAAGAAGGATGCCAAAAAATTGGAACAAGTACAGAGGAGGGCAACTAGGATGATCGGGGGGCTGGAAACTAAGCCTTATGAGGGAAAACTGAAAGAACTGGGCATGTTTAGCCTTGAGAAAAGAAGACTGAGGGGAAAGAGGATAGCACTTTTCAAATATTTGAAATGCTGTCATGCAGAGGAGGGGCAAGATCTGTGCTCCATTCACCAGATTGCAGGACATGCAACAATGGGCTCAAGTTACAGGAAACCAGATTTTGAATATCAGGAAAAACTTCTTAACTGTTGGAGCAGTCCGCCAGTGGAACCAATTACCTCGAGAGGTGGTGATTGCTCCAACACTGGAGGCATTCAAGAAAAACTTAGATAATCCCCTGGCAGATATGCTTTGATTGTATTCTTGCCTTGAGCAGGGGGTTGGACTTGATGGCCTTGTAGGCCCCTTCCAACTTCACTTTTCCATGATTCTATGCTAGGAGTTCTAGCAGCCAAGCTGGGGCTTCTGGGAGTTGTAGTTGAAAATGTTTGCCAGTTCTGGCATATTACCAACTGTTAATCATAATCATATAACTTAGCAAGGTCAATGCTGGGTTATAGTTAATTGGGCACACTGTGAACCAAAATGTAAGATATGAATTTGCTGCTTTTAAAAAAAATTGAAGTCCCTTCACATTTTGTGAAGGCTGAACTTTGTTCAAGGGCAGCTCAGCGTTCTTGACAGAAAGGGCATGCTTTCTTTCTTTTTTTAAACAGTGGCCGTACTTGGATTCTCCAAAAGCGTCCATGGCTGTTATGAAGCGTGCCATTGAGAAGGAGATGGTCATGTGAGACATTGTGGGGAGTCTCGTGTGGAATGAATGCTCCCCTTTCAGATTTATCTGGCAGAGCCCCCTCCAAGCCTTCATTCTTCCTGAGTCACTGCACAAGGCCTGGGTCTGTGTCAGTCTTGTGCACAGCCCGAGGCTGCCAGAAATTAAAATATATGGAGGCTTAAGGGGTGCTTTCCGTAGATAGAGCGAAGCAAAGCTGGGAAATGAAAGAAGGGAACTTTGAGAAATACCCTGGGAACATGGACACAGGAGGAGAATTCCATGCCTTTGTAGTGTATCTTGGAGGAGAATTCCCTTGTCTATGTGATGGACATGTGTCCCGTTCTGAAAATACAGCCTATAGAGATTGAAGCATGGTTTTACTGATTTTCTTCCATGTACATATAGAAAAATCGGAGATAGGCAAGTCTGTCAAGACTACATCAGTGGATATCTTCCTTTTCCCACCTCTGTGTCCATTCCAGTGCCTACTGGCCCTCATCTGGCATTTGTGTTTATGTATGTTGTCTATATAAGGGAATGTGGTGGTTCTGATGTTACTTCTGCCAGTTTCTTTAATATCCTTGAATGTAATTCGTCGGGCCCAGGAGACTTAAATTCACCCAAGGTAGCCAGGTAATCCTGTACTACTTTCCCACCTATTCTGTGCTGCGTCTCCCACACTATTTCACCTGCTCTTCCTCCTGCAGGTTGAGCGCTATTTTCCTTTTTGGAAAAAACTGAGTCAAAGAAAGTGTTGAGTAGTTCTGCCTTCCCCTGTTTCCTGTTAGTAATTGGCCATCATCTCCACGCAGAGACCCTATTGTTTCCTTCTCTTTCCTTTTACTGCTGACATAACTAAAAAATCCCTTTTTATTATCTTTAATCTCTCTAGCAAGCCTAAGTTTGTGCTGTGCTTTAGCTTTTCTTACCAT